CAGAAGGACATCATAAATCATTTCTAATTTATGAGGAGCCCAGTCGTGAACTTCACCCTGCTAGTTGCTGGTGTTTGTCATCTACACGCTGTGAGCTCCCTTCTTCAGTGCATACAGAGACTTTTTCAGATCATCCATAGGACAGAAGGTTGAGATTTTTTTCCCTAGGACTGGCCCAGCCAAAAATTAAGGAGGGAGAAGATAGAAGATTCTTGTCTCTCAGGGTTTTGCCACAAGTCTCACTTCCTTTATCCCAAATCGAGGACTGGGAAGGGGCAGAAACAATACCGTTATCATGATTAGCTTATTTTCTTTTATTTTATTCACAAATACACATATTTTTACAAAGCCAACAGCCTGTAAGTAAACGTTGGGGACACAGCAGTAAGCAAAACAGAATTTTGATTCTCAACGAGATGATACTTACATATGTTAGGAGGTGATGATGGGCTTTGCCCGAAAAGAAGAGATAAAGTTGGGAAGGGGAATAACCATTCTATACCAGAAGTTCAGGGAAGGGACTTCTACTAAGGTGACCTTTGAGCAGAGACTTGTGGGACAAGATGGAGTGAGTCTAGCAGGTGTCTGGAGAGATGGCCTCCTGGGAAGGACAGAGGCCACCATGCAGGGGGCCACGCCTCAGGGGAGAAGCAGCGGGGCCCCAAGGAATTGAAGCCAAAAGCTAGAAGGAAGTGTTTAGGAGCCAGGCACGTGATAGGAGGGACAGAGTAAGGTGCTGCGGTGAGTTCAGAGATTATTGGAAGTGAGATGAGCAGCCATGGGAAGTTTTGGGAAGATTACCAGAGTATAAGCATGAAGTCAGGAAAATGCAGGGCAGTGCTTCCTTCACTTCCCAGAGAGAATTAGAGTGTGCACTGTTGTTATCAGAATTGAACTGTCAAAACGTCAATTAGCCCAATGCAGAGTGATGCAGAAATCATGGCTTTGTTTGATCTTGGTATAAAAAAGCTCTTATGCTTTTCCAGTTGGGATAAAAGTGATAGGTCATGGGCCATTTATTTATTCGACTGGTGGTAATACTTTTCACGGAGACACCTTAGCTACTGTATTCAGCTACATTCAGCGACCCGTGCCCCACTAGCATCTTCCCTGGCAGTATCTTGGTTATGCTGTAGCTGTGGTGCATAGATCGGTGCATAGATTTCTGTGCATAGATTGGTGTGAGCTTCAAAGTCAAAGAGCAGCTGGTGGGATACTTGGGATCAGATTCAAGCAGGCTGCAATAACAGCAGGCTCTCAGTGATGACCTGGAGCCGTCTGATGCCGTTTTCTGCTCACAAACAACTGACTCTAGTCCACAGCTACAGAGAGCTTGGGTTAGACTGATGTGCAGAAGTTACAGGGCGTGCGATTTGACTCCTTCTCTGGAATACCTTCCTCAAAATGAGGGTGATCGACACTGAAGTGGGCTGTGCCTTAAAGTGAGCATCTTCCCTCTGAATGATTTTAAGCAGGTGAGCACATCTCAGGAATATTCTGAGATAGCGCCTGCTTTGTGCGGTGTGTTGGACTAGAATGACCTCTCAGATTCATTGCAATGCAAACCCCCTCTGAGCCCATGGAAAAGTGTCCAGTGAATGTGCTCTGCAAACATGCAGGCACTATATAAACAAGAGGCAAATATTTTAAAAGGTGAAGAATGAGATACTTGTACTGCTGTGAGAGCGGTGGTTGGAATGTTGTGCCCCAGCAACATACTTTCCGTGCTCAGTCGTGCAGTTTGTTCTCATTGGCCCTGTACACAGGTATCCGCATTGTGTGTTAAACATGCTCTCAGCCAAAGACCAAACAAATAGCTAACGGCATTTTCCTATCAGAGCCTGTTTATAGGAATTAGAGCAAAAGAACAAAGCTGTTGGTTTTGATTCTTGGCAGGAAGCCAAGGCTGCTGCTTCAAAGCTCCAGAGTTTACAAGAAAGAAAAGAGGGGGAATTTTTAGTTTACAAGGAAGAAAGGGGGAATTTTTAGCTGAGACTAAATTAGAATTTAAGCAAAAGAAAACTCAAAACTAAAACTAAAGAATCCTCCGGGATCCATAATGGAAAGGCAGAATAAGAAACCTGGTATATTTCAGGCTATCGAATGATTTTTTAGTGCAAGAATGAACGTTTTAAAAGGTGCCCGAAGCAGAGATTACAGACAGCCTCGATTAATGATACAGGATCACACAGCATTTGAGCTTTATGAATTGTCCTTAGTGATCCTTGAATTTTGTCCCTTATTTTACAGATAATGGATTAGAGGCCCAGGAACTCGAAGTGACTGCCCAGGGTCACTCAACTAGTTATAGGAATTCAAGGACTAGAATCCAGGACTTTTGGTAGCCATTTTGTGTTTTGGGTAATTTTAAAGAAGCAGCAAACAAGTAAAAGTTTTGTTTCTTATGAGCAAAGGGCCGATTAGGAAGACAGCCACAATGATTGAATTCTGAATTGGCAGTGCATTTGGTTTGCGAGAATGTGGCCTGATCCCTAAGCCAGAGGCACTTGCTCTTGCCTTCTTGCCGCCTTCATCCTCAGGTTTAGGGCAGAACAGCCATGAATCTCTGGGCCTGTCCCCAGGAATGGAGTCCAAGACAACTGTTGGAGGAGGTCTACAGAATCCTGCCACTCCTCAGAGCCCAGTCAAGCATGAATGGGTTTTTACAATCCCTGGGAGGCTACAGTGGTCAAGGTCCTTCTAAAGCACCTGCAAAATCCCAGCAGTGTCCCACCTGTCACTGTGGGTGTTCTTTGGCTTCCTGCATTGATAAGAGTTCTCTCCTCTTGGACCAGAGGCTGAACAAATTGAAACTGTATTTAAATAACAGCACTCTTTTTACATAATAGAACTCCCAGTTAAAAACAACAAAAAACAAACAAACAAAAAAACTCCTTGCCTGGTTAACTTTTTTCACTGAAATCACTAACCTTTAAGTGAGCTGTTGTTACTTGCTTCTGGAAGGCACGGGAAGAATGGAGTGAGTGAGGAATCCAAAGAAAGGGAGGGAAGCCTTCTGTGTATGTCTCCTTTTAAACCCATAAGCTGTTCATTGTCCTTCTTTTGACCATATATTCATTCATTCACTCATTTTCCTGTTTGTTTCTATTCTGATTCTATCCAAAAAAAGTTTGACAAAACTTACAGTAAAGAGCTTCTATATTGTACATAAAATGTAAATAAAGTCAGGTTTTAGAGAAGGAGGAAACAGATTCCATCCACGAATTGTCATATGAAGTCTGTGTCAAATATCCAGTTTTACTCTGATCTTCCTAGCAACCAGGATTTAAAAAGGAATACACAATTTCTAGTTATCAGAAAGGAAAAAAAATCCAGGTTCATCAAGAAACTAAGTGTTGCTATTCTGTGGTGCATGCAATTAGGAAACACCTATGGAAGACTTTCATGCACTTACTACAAAGCTGGCTGCCCAGGGCACGTCCTCCCACCCTGTCTCCTATCAGTGTCCTTGCTTGAGGCCCTGGAGCCTCTGAGCAAACATGTTCTTAGTGTTATCACAAATGTCTTCTTAGTGTTATCAGTTGCTCCCTTTGGATGTGTCAAGGCCTGGTTTGGGGTAATGGCTTTAGTTTAGTTGAAATGATGTTGTCTAGAGTAGTTCCAGGATTTGCAGATTATGAGGCCAGGAGCAGGAATCAGGGAGCATCAGAAATCTCATGCTACTGTAGCTGCCTGTTCTCTAACAGTGTAGCTTTCCTGCTCTTCAAAGTGCTCTAGACTCCTTATCTGGCCCTTCGCTGCTGTGTCAAAGTACATTTTTGAACAGAGGGTCTGGAGGAAATAGAGTTCTGCAGAACACACTTTGGGCAATGTTGACTCAGGATTAGGAGATGACATGACCACGTGTTAATTTTACGCACCTTCTTGGCCCCTGAAAGTGAGGAATGGACTTTGCAGTTGCATGGACATGTAGAGCACAGGATTTAATACTATACACACTCAGGAGAACACTACTAAGGTCCCAAGCCCCAGTTCGAAGTTCTACCAGGAGTTTACATTTCTTCCAGAAGAAGAATCAATATTAAGATTCCCATGACTTTACATGTCTGTGAAAACTGATTATTATTATTATTATTATTTTTTTCTGAGATGGAGTTTCGCTCTTGTTGCCCAGGCTGGAGTGCAATGGCGTGATCTTGGCTCACTGCAGCCTCTGCCTCCTGGGTTCAAATGGTTTTCCTGCCTCAGCCTCCTGAATAGCTGGGGTTACAGGTGCCCACCACTATGCCCAGCTAATTTTTGTAATTTTTGGAGATGGGGTTTTGCCATGTTGGCCAGGCTGGTCTCGAACTCCTGACCTCAGGTGATCCACCCACCTCAGCCCCCCAAAGTGCTAGGATTACAGGCATGAGCCACTGTTCCTGGCTGAAAGCTGATTATTCTTAATTGCCTTCTCCATCCTCCTAAGACCTGGGGATTGTCAGGTAATATACCAGAACTCTCCAGAATTAGTGAGAATGCAGGAGAAAGAGTAATAGAAATATGATGTGTTGGGCTTTTGTAATAGATGGAGTGAGAGAGAAAACACTAGAAAATAATTCATTTTCCTGGAATGCAAATGGGTTACCCAGAATATTTACTGAATGTTTATTTTTTTTAATGTAAGCATACATATCTTCTACATACACTGCACATCCATAGAATCATATGTTTTAGAATGCGACATTTCTAGCTTCAACGTTAGAAGCAGCCTTTATGCTCTCTAGCTGGTATGGAATAATATGTCTGGAAGCCAGGCCAAAGGTGGCCATTTGAAAGACCAGGGATGGCGGCTGGACTTCAGATCATGAGCTGCAGCCATTTGCTTTTGTCATAGCTGTGTTGATTCAACTCTGATCATGTGTTTTGTTAAGCAACTAAGAAAACGAGTTTGAGCCCTCATGTGAGCAGAATAAATGTGCTCAATTCTACTTGGAATGTTTTTCATAATTATCTTGAGGAATGACTTGATTCTTACTTGTGCTTGTTCTTTTTAAAAGTATTAGAAAGGAAGATATCCACACGACAAAGTAGAGAGGAGCTGATAAGAAGGGGAGTTCTTAAGGAATTGCCTGATCAAGGTGAGGAAATTAATCATACATTTTAAATATTTTGGTCCTTCATTCTTTGGTCTTTCTTTTGTTTTCTTTTGAAATTTAAAATGATCATGGTCTTTGTAAGGTAAAGCAGTGATTACTGCATTCCAAGAGCCTTGCTCCCATTGGTGATGCCTTTGTGAGCTGCAGAGAATCTGAAGTATTACAAAATTCTAGTGACTTTCCTGGTGAATCCGTCACCATATGTCATTCTAAACCTAAAACTCTGCAAAGGTACATCCGAGGCCGATACAGATGAGATACAAGTGCTTATGGCTCCTTCTCTTCTGTATTCTTGAGCTTCAGTCTTTCTATTCACATGAAACTCATGTGTTTGAGTAAATGCAAAGTTTTAGCTTGGTTCATGCTATTTTGTTTCTTAAGACTACCAATAAAACAGAAGAGAGAAGGCACACATACCTCTTGTCCTTTGCACTCTATAATAACACTGAAATGTACAATCAATAAAGCATGAATAGACAGACTAAACTAACCTGCTTTCTGCCTTCTCTCAAGTAATTTTGCAGTATTGTTCTCTTTTCATTTCTCTGAATCTTTCCCTAGCAATGATTATTTCTAATTTTTTCCCCTATCTCTGATCTTCTCTTTTTTTCTCTATCCTCCCAAGGAGGAACTTTGTTCAGAAAAGACAAAGATCAGATAGAAACTGGTACTGACCCTCAAAAGAAGACACTAACATTGGTTATTTCTCCAAATAAATAATACCTAATCATTTTCATCGCTTCCACTATTAAGTTTAAAATTAAAGGACATTTTGTTGCAACATTGTTGATTTATCTCATGCCTCCCTTCACCTCACATTTACTGTAATAATAAACTATTATTATTGTACTTTTATGGGAACAAATAAAATGCTATTAATTTAGAATTGAAATTGAAATTGAAATAATAATACAGCTGTTTTCCTGATATATGTTCCTTGCAAAGGACTTAACATTTTTTGGCATTCACTATTTGTAAATCAAAATGACATGCTTTTTCCAGCATCTGAATAATTCCAGAGTGGAGCTGAAAAATGCTTTCCTGTTTTTCTCCTGATTCAAAGAAAATAGAGAACTCTGGAGTGAATAGTAGCATTTTCTTAAGCCCTTGCAATTTTAGGTATTTTACTTCAATTTCTGACCTGTCAAACTTTTCTTACTCTACTTTATGAATGAATTTTATGTTTTCCCTGTTTTTCTATTATTTTGAAGCTACTTATTTCCTGTTTGAGACTTTTAAGAGTTAAAAATGCATATTTCTAACTTTTGAAACTTAAAAGTAGACTTGCAATATCAAAATTAATCCCCTGTCCAATGTCTCTGAAGGCAATAGAGAAATAATACACCCATTGAAAGCTTAACACTGGGCCATCAGCTTTATGGGATGGGCCAATGCACTTATTAGGCATCATTTGTTTAGAAATATTTTAAGGAAAGTACAAAATGGAAAATTTTATGATTGAAACTGTTAATGGGTTTAAAGGTGAAGATTCAAAGCCCATCTTTTTCTCCTAATTAAAATTTGTAGGTAGAAAAAGAATTTGCTCTTTCTAAAAACCAAGTAGCAAGAGTCAGTTTAAAGAAATGATTTTTATTCTGCCTAATCAGTGAAACTGTTTGCCTCATAGATTATAATTTCTTGGGCCAACATATACTTCTCAGAAATCTGACTCTCTGATCTTGTTATTTAACTTTTGCAGTGGAAAGTAAAAGTTTTAAAACATAAAAGAACAAAACTTTTTTTAACCTAACATAATATAATAATAGGCTTAATGTTTGAGAAGTCATAAACTACTAGATTTTACTTTGCAGCTTTTGCATCTTCCCTATCTAGAACTGTAGAAATTATCTAATGGTTGAAGGTTCCTGAGGATGTCAGTGGTAAATGGAGACCTTCCCCTTTTCAGCTGAGGGCTGGAGAAAATAGTTTTCTGTAATTTTCCCAAAAGCAATTATCTGGAGAATTTCAGTCTGAGAGACTAGAAGCTGCTGTTCTTGGTAACAACCTTCTTTCTGCTGCCAGTGAAGATTCGTTCTTTGCCTTGATCTTCTTGACCTTGCCTCTGCTCTTGACAGTGTCTGTCCATCAAGCCCTTTATTCAGTCAGCCAGATAGACTTTAAAAATCCCTCTAGCTACCCTGAGTTTGACCCCATCCCATCATGTCCCATACTCTCCCAGTTATTATTATTTTTCCTTTTAGGCTCTCTTTTTTACATCCAAACATACCTTCAACCTAAAAGTTCAGTGATTCGTCTTCTCTCCAGGGAAGTCTATGATCTAGTACAAGTTTGCTGCTTACCTCTGCTTTTTTCCCTCCATCTTTTCCCTTAGCTTTTGACATGAGGGTGTGGAGGTGGTTTTGCCTGTGCACCATCCTTTCCTTTTCTCCCTCTGTGGACTTTTATCACTTGCCTTTTGGTCATACATGATTTTCTCTTTCTATCTGTCCTTCCTTTAACCATAATATATCCCTACTACACCTGTTTACTAGAAGGAGGTGACCCCCTTCAAACACCCTCGTGCTCCTTTTCCTGTTTGTGCTTTATCTCTCATTTAACTTTAAGCTGATAACTACGTTGTGAGTTTTCTTTTTCCTTTGCTCCCGTGAGACGTGTTGACTTGGGCCGCTTATTGTCACCTGCCATTCAGCTCAGCACCTTCTTGCTTTCCTTTGCTCTGCTTGTATTTTACTTACACACATACACTATATCAAGGATTTAACTTATTTTAATTCTAAAACAACTTCCTTAACACTCAATACTAGAAAACCTTTTCAATATACACACCAACTAATTAATAACTTTACTTCCCCTCTGTTTTGTTCTTGAATTCCATATTTATCACAAATGTGTCTCTTTTTTCTACAATTATTTTCATACTAACTGGCTTCATTTCATGCCTCAAAGTAAGTATTTTCCACATTGTTGACTATTTCTCTCTATCATATGCTAATCCAATTTCTTCTTGTGTCATGACTATTAAAATTTCTCTCTAGGTTTTTCTAAATTTAATAAATAAGTTATTTAATTAAAGAATTTTAATGTAATAATGCTTAAAATAGAATTAAATTGTCATTGACATGACTTCAATATACTTTTATTACCAACTGAAGTCAAAGAAAACAAAGATAAATTTGTATTTGAGTTACCTAAAAACTGAAGATTTTTATGTATAAGCAAGTGGTTTTCTATTTTGTTTGGAATTTTTGATTCTTCATTTTTATTTTATCTGGATATATTGTGTTCTCCTTTTTATAGCTAATTTCTTGGGATTTAATAATAGGAATTAAGAATCATTTGGGTTCTCTTTGTTTGACATATAGTCTTTAAAAAATTCTTACTTTAATTTTATTAAAATAGTTGAGATTTACTTGTAATGGCATTACCTTCAATTATTGTTTATTTTAGTTTTACACAGGACTCAGTTATAGGTTATTGGGAGTTATATGACTAAGCAATGATTGCTTTTTCATTCTAAAAATGACATGATTTCATGATATGTGGTTGATGTATTAAAATGTCATACCTGTTTGTTTAGAAGGCAAATGGATTTTATTGTTAAGCCAAAACAATTCAATCATATTTAATGACAATTTGGGAAATGGTTTCTGTTTTATAATGATTGCCAAGATAAGAGTAGTAAAAATAGGAAGAGCTCTAAGTAAGCAGATTTTTAGGTTTGCGCAAACCTTCCATTCATTAATTTTTCTTTTACAATGGTAGCAAAGCCTCTTAAAATTTTCCAAATATAAAGTAGGGTTAATCTTTTCAAGAATCACTGAACTAAACGTTTCTGCAAAGTCTCTTTCACTTTAGAAACCCCCAGGAATTATGGAAATACGGGAGTTAAAATTAGTCATTTATGATTTACATATATATTCAACATTGTATCCATTACAGTTTTTAAAAATTCCTTTGTGATTACTTTTTTATGTGTGCTTTTTTTCCTTGAATGTATTCAAATTATTTTTAGGACAACTTACGGACTTTTTGGCTACTTATATATAATAATTACCTGAGTATACTTTAATCTTTCCATAAATAAAGAAATAAAAATAAAAATAGCCTTTTATCGTCTTTTCCCTGAATATAGAGTAGAAGTTATATTACTGTGTGAAGTTAGCACATCATATACTTAATATATTCTGGAACCAGTAGTACTTGGAAATTTTCATATTCTCCCACTTATTGTTTGTATGTGTAATTACATTTCATGTTATTTTGTGTGTTTGCATTCACCTTGTGTTTTTGGTGCTTGTAAAATGTTTATTCCATTTTCCAGATTATTCCTCTCGCCATTTTATTTCTGAATGACGAAGAAACACATAAGTATTGACTTCAGCCAAACCTAAGAACCAGAACAGAGGGACTCTGCTGCCCTGGGATATTGCATAATTAGGATGATCATTCCTATTGTCTTGAAATGATGCATAGATATTCCCTCCATAGCAGCTTTTCCTCATGTCTGAGGATTTTCTAGCTCTTTTGTTTTGAATAAACTGGTGAAACAGTGCAGGGTGTATTTGGTTCCCAGGGACTGAAACATGAATCCAAATTCTACAATCCTAGTAACTGGAAAACTTGTTTTTAAGAAAGCCAGCAAGTTAGACATCTAGGTGTTTCTTTCCCATTTTAGATGGAGATGTAACAGTTAACTTTGAAAATTCAAACGGGCACATGATACCCATCGGAGAGGAATCTACCCGAGAGGAAAATGTAGTAAAGTCTGAAGAAGGTAATGGCTCTGTTTCTGAAAAAACACCACCTCTGGAGGAAAAGGCAGAAGATAAGAAAGGTAAAATAAAGAGAAACCCGTATTATTTACTTTAGTGTAGCTCAATGTCTAGAACCAGCACTTAAGCTCCAACTAGTGACTCTAAAACCAGCAGTCTGAAGAGGAGAGGTTTACAAATGGAAAAAAGAAAGAAATGATAACTAGTAAAGTGAAATCGGATGATTTTCTCAGGTAGATACATCCATTTTATAAGCACAGTATTTGATTTTCTTAATTATTAATAAATGTTAATTAAAAGTAATAATCAGAAGGGGTGGCCTCTTTAAACATTAAAGATGTCTGGGAAGATTATCCTTTCTTAGGAGCTTTGTCTCAGGATCATAATGAAAGTGAGAAATCTGAGCATCTTTCTCTGCTAGTTACAACTGGCCCCATGAGCAGTTCAGCATGGAGGAATATCAAAACCCACATGGCTTGTTCAGCCCAGCACTGTCTTCAGCAGTGGGAACTCGGCTGGTGGCATCCACATGTCCAGTATCGTAGGTTCCAAATGTTTCTGAGAGAGACCCAGGAATAGCTCCCAGAGATGCCATGGACTGTGGTTGCTCTGCTGCCTGATTCCCACAGCCTCTGTGCAATTGGAAACTTCAAAATGTGCCAGAGGCAATTATGCTATTCCCAGAAGACTTCTTTAGAGACCTTGGTTCCTAGAGTGAATATGCCACAGTAGATTGAGATACCTGCAAAATACATGTCTATCAGGTACTCCCAGAACATTCACAAATTCCTAGTTATGGATTGATGACATCTTGATACCACTGCTGTGATGATACCACTGCATAGGAACCTCCAAACATGAAAAGAAACTTCTATAAGGAGAGGTTTTGGGGGGAGATTCTAGATGCCTCCATGCAGCATAGAAAGGAATCTTTAGGAAATATACTATTTCCTGTTTTATAATGTGTGTCTCTAAGTTGAATGGTAAAATTTTGTCAAACCTAGTGCGTGTTCTGTGGGCATTTTGAACTCTTAGAAACTGATGAAAGTGAATTCTCTTCCTCTGTTCTTGACCCAGATCCTTGAGAGAGAAAGGGAAAAAAGAGTATTTGATGGCCCTATTAAACACACCTTGTAACTTAAAATCATCTTCTCTGAAAGTTCATAGCCATTCATTATTTGCATATATATTAGCCTTTGAAAGTTTTAGAAGCCTGTGTAAATAATCTGTTGGAAATGTATTATTTTGCTTTATTTCAAGGACTTTATCTTGCCTTGTTCCATTGACGGACTCTGGTTAAGCTTACGTACACAAATTATGAAATTAACTAATACTTTCAATGATAATATTCCTGGAACATAAAAAGAAAGTAGACTTACATAAATTTTAGTGGGGTTCAGCTGAAAGTATTAACGCAAGTAGTGATGTTTTTTGTTTAAGTCTTTCTGTCCTGTCTCGCCAGACTGTTGAATTTCAAATCCATCTGTGGTTTGTCCCTGGCAGCCTTCTCACATCCCAGAATCGCATCCTGTGTTACGTAACAGTGCCATCTCTGGTGCCTGGTCCGTGCAGGGTATTCGTCACCGGACTGGCCAGACATCAAAGGAAGTGTTTCCCTTATCAACATAATAAAAAGTTCTTGACAGTTTTATATGAATTAACCAACAGACCTTGATGTTCTTGAAAGAAGATAGCAGATCTATGGGTCCATGAATAGTTGAGAGATGTTTTTCTTTACTCAGACTTAGTACATTCAATTCGTCCTTGTCTGATAAGGTCCAAGAGAGCCTCTTGCTTGGTTAGTAGTACATGAGGAAGGAGCTGGGAGTGCTGGATGCTGACATACCACTAATGAGGCAGTGCGGCTCTCTCCTGTGTGGAAAGAGAACACACCAGAGCCACAGGAGAGGCACTAGGTATAGAAGCCACTTCCTGAGACTGAAAAGAATGTCACGCATAACTAATATTACAGTGTATTATGTTAATTAGAAAATGCCTTATGACAAAAGTTAACAATTTATTTCTCTAGAAAAACACATTTTTAATTCTGAAGACCAACTCAAGCTTCACTTTTGCCTCTGCTCCTCTTTTGGTCTCACTGCTTGTGTGAGCTCACTACCATGCAAATCCCACCACCCCATGATCTTAATTCACCCTTTATTTTGGGATACAGTGCTCCCTTTCCTCCTGCATGAAGCCAACTTATTCAAGAGCATTCTGTCATCTATTTGCTTATATTTGCAAAACCATATCATCTGCCTTTAGAGCGCTAGATGTGTATTATATCTCTTCATAAGACAGTATCTCAATACTTTAATATTTGAAACATCACCGTCAAAGAAAGCAAAACAAATGGCACATGGTGTCCTTCACACTTGCTCTGTGAGTAGATTCCACCCAGGCCCTCTGGGCGTTTCTGGGGCTCCTGAAGGCACCTGATTCTGTAGTTGGTATGGTGGTCTTGGGCCTCCTCTGCCTAATACTAGATAGAGACTTCTTCCTTAAGGTCTTTGGGGCTCTTGGTCTCCCATTATTCTTTCTCAGTAAGTGCCTTTATATATATAAGAGCAGAAAAACTGACTTGCTCCCTGTTAAACAAAACTTGGTATTAAATATAAGAAATCTTTTGGCTCACACTTGTAATCCCAGCACTTTGGGAGGCCAAGGAGGGAAGATCACCTGAGGTCAGGAGTTTAATACCAGCCTGGCCAACATGGCGAAGCCCCATCTGTACTAAAAATACAAAAATAGCTGGGTGTGGTGGTGAGCACCTGTAATCCCAGCTACTGGGAAGCTGAGACAGAGAGAATTGCTTGAACCCAGGAGGCGGAGGTTGCAGTGAGCTGAGGTCAGGCACCATTGCACTCCAGCCTGGGTGACAGCCGGTCTCAAGAAAAGAAAATAATAATAATCTTATAAGAATTCTTATAAAATCTTATAAGACTCTTACAAGAAATCTTGCTTGACATTATTTTTATTAAGCTATTATAAAAAAATCTTCAGTGAAATAACAAGTGGTGGACACTTACTTGTTCCACAAATAGTGAAGGTCTACCATGGGTGAGACTCTACTAGGGGCCAGGAAAAGAGTGGTGAATGAAAAATGGCCTTTGCCCTAAGAGCGTGACCTGTGAGGAGACCAGAATGCAAACAGGCAATTGCAATGCAAGATGCGAAGTACCATAGAAGGCCTGAGCACAGCAACCCAAGGGAGCTCACAGCGAGGACAAACATTGGTTCTGGGAGGAAGATATTTACAGACTAAGACATGAAGGAAACAAGAAGGAGGTAGTCAAATGAAGCAGAGGAATTGGGTGAGAATTGCATTCTAGGCAGGGTGAAGACCACATGCAGCCCCAGGCTTGTTCTGAGTATCCTTGAACTCAAACCTTCCAGTGTCCAAAGGAGCCAAGCCTGGAAGTGTGGGAAACAGCTTGTTTTCCAGACGTCATTGCTGGGAAGCCTAGCGTCCTTATCAAGCCAGAATGACTAGGCAGACTTTCTTAACCTTCTCTTGAAATGATAATACTCCTATACGCCATCAGTTTATATCAGGTCTTCAGATCACATGGTAAGTGTAAAATATACAACTTGACTTAATTCATTACCTCCCAGCTGCAACTAAAGCATCTGTTTTCTACTGAGGTGTGTGTCAATAACTATTAGACGGTCAGTCCCATTCGTTGAATAGACATAGTGTGTACAGCAGTGTGTTCGATGGAATTTTAAATTTCAGACAGAAGTTTATAATTCAGTCAAAAAATTATGCTATTTGCATACTTATATGTCCCTGCGTGTGCATGCATGTACACACGCACACACATAACTTAAGAATTACCAGAATGACAAATGTTCACACATAGTTGGTAGAGTTCAAAGAGTCAAGAGGAGTTGACTGCGTTCTCCAAGGAGCCAGGAGAAAGTCTGTTTGCAGTGTGTTCATTTTCTCCCTAGTAGGTCTTGTCATTGCCAACCAATCTGGTGAACCATCTCCTCCTTCCCAAACCCAGAAGCTGGATTCTTTCCTGTATACCTTAGAATTTTAAGCCTTAGGCAGAAAGGAAAAATACCCCTCAGTGACGTGCTATGAAGGGAGAGGATAACACATGAATGGATTTTATGGTATATAAGAGAATTAAGGTGCCATGTGTTACAGATCAGTTTGACTTTCACTATGGATGATACTATTGGGCTTAGTCTCCATACTTCATGGTATTATGCTGGGGGCTAAAGTTACAAAGATGTATTTAAAGAATAGACTTCAGCCATATGTCAGAAGACTGACAAGTTAATGTATATTTATATATTTTAAGTCAAAATTAAATGTTTTAGGTGTGTATCAACTTGTATCATTCTCAAACCTAACTGACTTTTGTGATTTATACTTGCCTGGTTAAGACCAGTTGAGTTAAAAGGGCCATTACTATTAATATACATGAAACTCAGCTTAGTTGAGGAGACAAGATGTATAAACAGAAAGGCAAAAATACAAAATAGCTTCTGATAAATGTTGAGTAAGTGGTTCACACAATAAGCCCAAGTAAGTTCAGAGGCAGAAGAAGTCAACTTGGGCCACAGTGACAGGAGAGGATTTTGTGGCTGAAGCAGCATCAAAGGTGAACTTTAAAAGTAAAGCTTTATTGATTACCTATTGTAACTGAAGTCATCATATGCAATTATATATGTGGATTGATGGGGAATGTGGTTGAAAAAAGAGAATTCCATACTTCACACTCATTAGGATAAGGAACAAAATAATAGAAATAATAATAAAATGCAATATATTACAATATTAAAACTCTTTCTTGATCATTCAATTATGGGAGGACAGACTTGGTTAAGGCTTGTTCTTGTCTTTACACGGTTTAATGTTTTTATCATGCCCCATTTTTAAGGAAATGCTGCTTAGCTCTTTGGACCAGAATGGTATTTTAGTTTAATTCTCATCAGCCACTATTAGAACGAATACAGATGTGAATATATGAATGAACCTTCAGCATCTCCACTGTCTTTCAGTAACAAGAAACTAATACTCTTTCTCCTCCAGTTACACAAAACCTTGTGAGGAGCTGCTGTTCTTAGGGATGAGTTTTGGATGAATTTTAGCCTTTGTCTTTCAAAAATAATTATTTGGTTTACATTAAAAAAGAGACCTAAGTATTTCTTCGATTCAGCACCATCTAGTTATACCTATAGTTGTGACAGCATTTGAAAAGGCCAGGCATGGTGTCTCATGCCTGTAATCCTGACACTTTGTGAGGCCAAGGGGGGCAAATCACTTGAGCCCAGGAGTTCAAGACCAGCTTCTGCAATATGGCAAAACCCAATCTCTACAAAAAATTCAAAACTTAGCTGGGCGTGGTGGCAAACACCTGTGGTCTCAGCTACACAGAAGGCTGAGGTTAGATTATCACTTGAGCCCAGGAGATCAAGGCTACAGTGAGCCATGATCATGCCACTGCACTCCAGCCTGGGTGACAGAGAGAGACCCTATCTCAAAACAAAAAAAAATTTTTTTTGAGCTTCTCTTTCATACACACACACAAAAAAAAAAAAAGAAAAGAAAGGAAGGAAAGAGCAGAGGAAGTTATTGTAGAACAGGAAGCTGCCAATGTACTGGGAAAGCTTTAGAAAATTTTGCTAGTAGAAGATGATTCATTCCAAAGTGCATTGTTGCCTCATGTTAAAGATTCTGTAGAGCCTCTCTTAGCTTACAAAATAACTGAGTTTTGACCACAGCAAATCTGAACACAGATCCCTTTCAGATGGATCTGGCTTGAGTTCTCGAGGGTAACCATGAGTCCAGCAGTTACTGCAGCTGTCAGTCCTCACCCCACAGCAGTGACTGTAATGCGTTCATCTGCCACTCTCCAGCAGCCTTCAACTTTCTAAAATCATTGTTTGTCCAATTTAAATGTAGCACTGCACGCCCACATCATCATCCAGCAACCCCAGATACAAGGCTAGAACTGAGACCCCTGACTTGCAAACAATTTACACACATCCTCAACCGAATATCTTCAAAGTAGTTTGTACAACCCGGTTTTATTAAACGGTGATTCATGTACCCTGAGAACACTTCTCAGTTTGTCTTTCAGCCTTTGTTTTCACCCTAAACTGTGCTCTGTCTGGTGCAGAACTCCATGCTGGTTCCCAAGGGCCAAGCAGCCACGCTTTGTGTCACTATCGTCACGTCTTGCTCCTCGTGTTTATATGGTGTGTGTCTGTATCAGTCTGCTTCTGTTCACTTTCTCATTTATAGAGAACACTGAAAACCACTCTGAAACACCGGCAGCTCCTGCTCTACCTCCTTCTGCTCCTCCTAAGCCTAGACCCAAACCTAAACCCAAAAAATCACCTGTGCCTCCAAAAGGGGCCACTGCTGGGGCCAGCCACAAAGGTGACGAAGTGCCTCCCATTAAAAAAAATACCAAGGCTCCTGGTAAGCAGGCCCCCGACCCTCCACCCAAGCCAACAAGCCGAAACACGACCCGAGAGGCTGGTGAGTATGCCACTAGTGCCCTATGGGGTCACTTCTAGGGTGCTTAGCTCTGCGATGGGGCTAATTGTTTCTTCTAGGTGTGATGGGCTTTTGGTGTCTTAGGACATTACACCAGCAGATTCAGTTTTGACACAAAAAATGCCCAGGAGATTCCTTTGTTGCTCTCTACCAAAGGAAAGTCAACCCGTTGAATAGTTCACCTCATTAGTTTTTGAGTGAACATGCTGGTTTCATCTTGAATATCCACTATCAGCACCAGTTGAAGGATACTGGGAGTAGTATGCCTGGTGAATGTCAATGATCTGATATAACATTATTTAGACATTGACTGACCTTCTACCTATATGAGTTTATGGGTGGCTTTTTGGCTTGGATTTTCTTTCAAAATATCTTAGGTTTGCATATAAAAAAGTGACAGTTATAACTTTGATACATTTGCTGGATGTTAATGTGTTAAATCCTCAGCATCCATAGTCATCTCCCTTCTGATAAATGACAAAGGGTTCATGTCACTTGTTTCAGCTGCACTGCACCACTTTCTACTGCAGTGAAGACTATTTCAGTGGAATGGAAAGTTACACTCTCCATGTTCCACACCTCCCCTGTAGACTTGTGTGCTCTAAGGCAAAACATCCTGGTGTCATGTGGTTATAAGTTACTATTACACATCACCAGTGGATGTTTGAGTGACCTGCAGTAACTTCATGCACTATGTATCCAGCTTTGCTTTACAATTAGATACGCTTAATGCAAAGTGGAAACTCCCATTTTTTTAGTGAAGAAGAATAAAGATGTCTACCATGTCATTTATCTTTTAAAAGAACATTAATCAGGCCAGACTCAGTGGCTCACACCTGTAATCCCAGCACTTTGGGAGGCTGATGCGGGTCGATCACTTGAGGTCAGGAGTTCAAGACCAGCCTGGTCAACATGGTGAAACCCTGTCTCTGCTAAAAATACAAGAATTAGCCAGGCGTGGTGGTGCACACCTCTAATCCCAGCTATTCAGGAGGCTGAGACAGGAAAATTGCTTGAACCAAGGAGGCAGAAGTTGCAGTGAGCTGATATTGCGCCAGTGCACTCCAGCCTGGGTGACAGAACGAGACTCCATCTCAAAAAAAATATCTTATTTTCCTTAAAATCAACAGCAACTTTCTAGCAGTTGACTGTCAGGATTTGCCTTGGTGTTGATCTTTTTCCCCTCATGATGTATAACTTTAATGCTCAAATTCAGAGAGTGGTTTTGTTGACAGTATAACAGATCTCTGAATGCCAATAGACATACCTCTCCCTGTGCTCCTCACATCCCGCCTTTGACCTTTAGTGTCTGGGTCTCTTCTAATAAGCTCTAAACTGAAATGTCCCAGAATGATGTGCCAACAGTGCCCAGTGGCCATCTCCTCAGGGACCAGCTGTCCTCACCCATCAGTGTCCGTTTGCTGGGATCTGTGTGTGTTTTTCAGACTTCCTAGCAAACCCTAGGAGCATTGCTTAAAGTGAGGCAGGCACTGATCTTCTTCTTAAAGAACAGCCCCGAACAATCACTTTGTCATTGGAAATTAAGCTCCTGTCTTGCACTAACTTCTCCACTTCCCGCATTCTCCACGTGGTAGTAAGCTCACTCTGAACTCCGCTCGACTCTCTCTGTACTCTGCCTCAGAACAAGCCGATGATTAACAACAAGGACAGGAGAACAGCTTTCATAAATGATCTCTGAAGTTTTTCCAAATATTTTCCCTTGAAGATTTATTTAGGCGCCACTCATGATTGTCCTAAAAAAACAAGTCATTTTATTCAATGGGCAGTAGAAAAGCCCTACTTTTCCAAGAGGCATCCAACAGAAAAACAGAGTTTGCATTAAGTACATAACAAGGCCCATCATGTAAGGATCGTTTTATCAAAATACTGATCAATAATCCCTTATGATCCTAAGCTGATAACTCCATTGTGGAACCATCTAGAACTTCCCCCCCCTGCATGGTAACTTTGTTTATTGGATAATTGGACCTCTCTGAAAAGTGTTGTAAATTCTACTCTTGATTCAGTCAGTGATTTAGAAGTTCTAAAACAACCATACGTTAAGATTCCTTTTCTCTATACTAATTAGTATAGACCTGTAGCTACCCTTAAATACTGATTTTAGAACCCAACTTATTGCCAGAGATTAGGTTAAATCCTCCTTGATTTTTGTCTCATTGTTACCATATTAACAACAAAATACTTAACGAGAGAGCGCTTTTTTTTAATCATGACCTTTATTCAAGTAACTTAAGCCAACATCTTTGATCTCAACAAAGACCTGCTATTAAAAAATTCTTAATGAAAAACCTATAAGTGTGCATTGAATTTGCACCTCTGGGGCATGAAAAAAAAATGTCTTTTCATCTCAAGCCAACTAAAATCAACTTTTTTCTATTAATGATGAAAGAATTTTTCTTTGGCCAGCATTTCCTCACGCCTGTAATCCCCAGCCACTTTGGGAAGGCCGGAGTGGCGGATAATCCTGAGGTCAGGAGGTCGAGACCAGCCTGTACAACAATGCGTAAAAACCCCATCATCTACAAAAAATACAAAAATTGCTTCAGCCATGGGGGTGGCACCTGTAATCCAGCATGGAGGCAGGCAGGAGAATCCACCTTTAACCCAGAGGAGCAGAGATCCTGCATGACCCGAGATTAGTGCCACTGCACCCAAGACTGGGTGACAGAATGAGACTCTGTCTCACAAAAAAAAAAAAAAAAAAAAATTTCTTTTAACAAATTATTAGAATTGATACATGGAAAGGATTCTGTTTAACTTACCTAAGAAAATAATTGAACAAGGTTAGGCACCGAATCCTTAATGTCTTTGTTGTGAAAAGTAAATGTAGAATGGACTTAGATTGAAGGAGTGTACTTAATGAATTTGACTTCAAGGCTAGGGAAGGTTGTTTTCTATAAAGATGTATTAACAGGTCTAGATTTGGGGAAGAAGAATTCTAGGTATGTATGTCTTAAACAATAAAGACCCCCAAACCATGGGGATTCCTTTTAAGCCTGGAACCTGTCACTAAATGAGACTGGCTTCTTTAGTATCAGTCTAATCAGAATTAATGAAGGCTTACATCTCATTGTCTATTCTTTCATTTATTCTTCATCTCTTCATCCTCCCAAGTGACTTCAATAAAGTCATAACCGGAAGTAAGTTATAATAACATCTGTATATAGTGTAGACTGGCTTCACAATGCTAACAAGATATTTTCTAATCATTCTATGAAAGATAGTTTAAGCCTTTATGAAAAGAAGGAACATATATGTATCCAGCTTTGCGTTACAATTAGATACGCTTAATGCAAAGTGGATTCTCCCAAAGGGTGATTCATGTACCCTGAGAACACTTCTCAGTTTGTCTTTCAGCCTTTGTTTTCATCCTAAACTGTGCTCTGTCTGGTGCAGAACTCCATGCTCTGAAACTGTTTTGATTGAGGGTGCCCTATCCGGAAGTAGGCAAATATACCATAGCAATCCTTCAATGAAGACCTTCTTGGAACTTAAGCTTTAAGGAAGATCACATTTGCAAAGGTGGGGTCAGAAGACCTGAGAATGATTTTCTTTCCCTTCACATTATTTAGGATCAGACATAGTGGCTCACGCCTGTAATTCTTTGGAGCCACCAAAGCGTCTCACTTTGGGACGTCAAGATGGGTGGATCCCTTGAGCCCAGGAGTTCAAGACCAGCCTGGGCAACATGACAAAACCCTGTCTCAACAAAAATACATTAAAAATTAGCCAGATATGGTGGTACACACCTGTAGTCCCAGCTACTCAGGAGGCTGAGGCAGGAGGATCACTTGAAACCAGGAGGTAGAAGTTGCAGTGAGCCGATATTGCACCATTGAACGCCAGCCTGGGCAACAGAGCAAGACCTTATCTCAAAAAAAAAAAAGAAAAGAAAAGAAAAAAAAAGAAGGAGCAACCCATGTAAACATATTTTGTAAAAAAGGTTTTTTCTGACCTTTTGATGTTTTGAAGGGAGTGTACCTTTCCTGTGTGGCCATGAGTTTTCCCCTTACCCCATCTCTACTACAGATAGAAGTAGAGGCCAGCATAGCAAGCTTTCTTCTCTGGAGCTACTGAAACAGCTGGTTTGAGTTTTACTCTTTTAGCAGTAAGATGAGTGATTTTGTTTTTGACCCAGAAAGGAGCTGGATATATACCCCAGTCTCTTCTGAATACAGGCCACCACTCTATTCCTAGAAAGACAGCATAGAACGTGTATAATTTATAATGAGCCCAATTGTGTGCTACACCCAGCTAGCTGCTGATGTCTGTCCTCTACACACCATAACATTCCTTCTTGAGAGCATACCGGGCTTTTTTCAAGTGACCTATAGACAAGGAGCAGAGGATTCTCCCTTTGGCTGGCTCAGCTAAAGACTAAAGGTGGGAGAACACAGAGGGCTCTTGTTCCTCCAAGTTTTGCCATAAACATCACTTGCTTCTTGCTGGATTGGAGGAAGGGAGGGGCAGAAGACAAGACCATTATCATGATTAGCCTATTTTCTCTTACTCATTTATTCAACAAATTTTAATGGGAACATTTTAAATGTTATTGACGGTTACACCTCGGTAACTTTATTTTTAAAAGCCTTGTATTCTTTGATTTTTTAACGCAAAGTCTCTCTATTGTAGCTGGCTCCTCTCATTCAAAAAAAACAACTGGCTCTAAAGCATCAACTTCGCCATCCACTTCATCCACCTCATCTCGTCCCAAAGCTTCAAAGGAGACAGTTGCTAGCAAAACAGGGACAGTGGGGACCACCAAGGGCAAGAAAAAAACTGGCAAGCAGCCAACGACTTCTCGTCTGTCCTCAGACACAACCACTTCTGGCATAGCCGACCTTAAAGGAGAGCCTTCAGAGACAAGAGTGGAGAGTCTCAAACTTGAACAGACTGTCCCTGGAGCTGAGGAGCAGAACACAGGCAAATCCAAGTCCGTGGTCCCTCCACCCCCTGTGGCTCCAGCACCTTCTCCTCCGGCCCCCACTCTCCCTCTTGAAGATCAGTGCATTACTGCCTCCGACACTCCAGTTGTCCTGGTCAGCGTTGGAGCTGACCTGCCCGTCTCTGCCTTAGACCCAAGTCAGCTTCTTTGGGCTGAAGAGCCAAAAAACAGAACCACTCTCTACTCAGGCACTGGCTTAAGTGTTAACAGAGAAAATGCAAAATGGTGAGTTGGGGAACAAACCCCCTATTTTATCTGAGAACTAAAGTTCACTAATATATTCTGTTGGAAATAAAGCAACCAGGTTTGCTTGCTTTTCTAATTTAATCTACTGAGTGTTAGGTGGGCATACATGTGATGCAACCATTGCTTTGTCAGAACCCTGCCCTGAGGGCTGCTGGAGAAAATTACATTGGTAGAGCTGAGATCAGTGTTTTCAAGTACAGTTAGAACCTGCTTCAGCACTGCTCAGCAGTCCACAGTTCCCTTCTCTTTCCTTTCAGTGCTTATTTTAAATCTTTACCACTTTACCAGTGTGCTCACCCACTCATGTCAATAAGTTAGTGAGCCTTCCCCTTCTCCAAGAACATAAAGAAGATCAGAATAGAACTCTCAAATGTGAACTCTTTTTTCCTCCAGCAGTAGAGTTGTCCCCTTTCTTGTTCCTTTAAATTCCCACCCAGCTTAAATGTTATGTCCTCTGTGAAGCCATTAGATACTTCTACACAGAACTGGTTGTTGTGTCTACTATACTTAGACAACCCTGTGGGAGAGAATTAGCCAACATGTCTTATATACCTCTGTGTGCCCAGCAACCAGACCAGAGTCTGATATGCCATAGGCATACAAAGGATGCTCGTTGAATTGTTGAAAGAAAATAAAAAAGGGATTTAAGATCATTATAGATAAAGTCAGCCTACTTTAACATTGTGGAAGCAGCATTGAAGATAAGATGACCCTGTTGCTAGATTTTATAGAGTATAATGGAAGATAAAAGATAGTGCTCAGGTAGTCATCGTTTCATTTAAGAAGGTACCTGAACAAAATGGGCCAAGGAACTCCATGTTACCTCACCCTCATCCAGTTGGTGGGTTAATTGCTTTACCATCACCCAGTTGCCCAAACTGGAAACCTGGGGTTCATCCAAGGGTCCTCATTCTCTTTCATTCTTTGCATTTCATCACTCACAAAGTCCTACAAATATTCTACTTACAGGTAAATAAAGCATATTAGCCCTGTCACACAGGTATGAAGGGATGGATGGCTGTCAGCGTATAGTAGATGCAATGATAAATTCTGTCTAGCAATGGCTTAGAGCACTTGCATCCTGGCTTTTTGCTCCTATGTCTAAGAACAAAACCTGTATTCATTCTTCAAATCATGTAAAAGGTTCTCTTTCAAAATAATCTGTCATGTTAGAGTTAAAAAAAATTATTACATTAGTTAGGTTGGTTTTGATCAAGAGACTAAAATATCAACTTAAATTAATTGCTAATGATAATAACCTTTATTTATTGAATATTCATTTAATGTCAGGAACTAAGCACTGTACATGTATTATCATTTTATTTATACAAGTCTTCCCAAAAGTATCCCTGTTTTATAGATAAGAAAACTGGCACTGAGAGAGCTAAAATAGTTTGCACCAGACTGCCCAGTTGGTGGTGGTGAAGCCAGAAAGCATACCCAATTCCATGCTCTGAATGAATAATTTCATGTTTTCCAAAGCAATGGCTTCTACTTCTACTGCCATTTCTGTTCTGTTAGTTTCTTTGGTTTTTTTTTAAGTCACTTTGAGCACCAATATTTGAAGGACAGCCAAGAAAAAATAAATGTCAGATTACAAATTAATTTATTCTCTTTGTTTGACATTCTAATAAAAGATATGGGAAAACAGGATTTATTGAAATGAATGGTTATGCTGTCTTTCTTAGGACATTTTGTGCTGCTGTAATAGAGTACCTGTGACTGGGTAATTTACAATAATTAGAATATTGGCTCACAGTCCTAGGGGCTGGGAAGTCCAAGATCAAGGCAGCAGCATTTGGCAAGCATCTTCTTTCCATGTCATCACATGGTGGGAGGTGGAAGGGCAGAGAGCACAACAGAGTGAACCTACCCCTGTGAGCCCTTTTTAAAATGGCATTAATCTATTCATGAGGGCAGAGCCTTCATGACTTAAACACCTCCCACTAGGCCCTACGTCTCAATACTTTCACACTGAGGATGAAGTTTTTTCTTTTGTGTTTTGTTTTGTTTTGTTTTGTTTTTGAGATGGAGTCTTGCTCTATCACCCAGGCTGGAGTACAGTGGCATGATCTCGGCTCACCTCAACCTCTGCCTCCCAGGTTCAAGCGATTCTTCTGCCTCAGCCTCCTCAGTAGCTAGGACTACAGGCACCTGCCATCACGCCCGGCTAATTTTTCTATTTTTAGTAGAGATGGGGTTTCACCATATAGGCCAGGCTGGTCTCCAACTCCTGACCTTGTGATCCGCCTGCCTCGGCCTTCCAAAGTGCTGGGACTACAGGCATGAGCCACCGCACACAGCTGGGATTAAATTTTAACCCATGAATTCTGAGGGACACATTCAAACCCTAGCAGCATTCTTAATACTTCCAGTATACAGCAAACGTCTTCATTTAACTATACTGAGTATTTTCCAACATTGCGATCATTTCCAGCCATTAGAACTGAATATTCATTCTTACAGCATATATTATTTGATTGCCTTTTCTGTGCTGGGCACTGTACTAAGCACCAAGGATACAAAAGTGAGCAAGGCAATATAGTTGAGACTAGCTTTTACCAAAATATTGTCTGATGTGTGCAGGAAGTATAATGTTTAAAGTAACATCTGAATTTCTGGAAACTAGATTGGGTATATGGGATTATTGTTCAATATACTAAAGAATAAGGTGCAACATGTAAAGTGCTTCCTGATATAGTCTTAAACACTTAGAGAGCTCACATCCAAAGGTGGCCTGACTATCCCATTCATTTCCACAAATATTTAAGGAGTTCATTTTATTGTGCTAAGCACCACACAACATACTAGGGGCTTAATATCAGTCTTCATCTCAAGTATATGAAGAACTGTCAGACCAAAGAGGTATGCATCAGCTCTTTTTTCCTACTGGGACTATAATCAGAGGGAGTGAGCTTAGGACATCATTAGCCATTGAGGCTACTTACAATAGATATTCCTGTCCATCAAGGTAGTTATAATGATTTCCTAGAAGAGGCCATAAGGATTTTCTTCTCTGTATATTCTTCAAAATTTAAATTTCAGTTCATCCTACAGGGATGGTTTGTGTTTGCTCCTGAATTAATGAACCTGGAGTAAGTAGTCTCTCAAATTTCCTTCCAAATTCTTTCTGCCTTTTTCAAGTGGATATTTGGATTAGAATATCTGGCTGTTATTCACTTGCTTTACTTAGAACTTTCCCTCTGAGTTATGTTTAGTCAACTAATGTGTGAAAATCTTGTCATTTTATGAAGAGACTTCTGTTTGGAAGACAAATATCAAAACTTTCAAGAAGACAAGTGGCTATGGATAAAAATACTTACCTCTCTTCCCATCTGGCAGGCTAGTAATTATTTGGTAGGCTTCCATTCATGGGCAGCTTCATCAGTAATACATATGTGTGATACAATATAAGGTAAAAACTAATAAGACCATTTGGAGGCCATATCCAAAAGGTTACTTTGTGCAGTTCATTTCCACACACATTTATAGAATGCACTATATTGTCCAGTGTGCCTAGGAACCCGGGGGGGGACAAATAAGGGGTAAGTCATGAGTTGATTTATACAAACTTGGAGTATATTTAACATCAGATATAATTTATAACATAATATAACTCATTAAGTGTAAAATATAATAGTATCATAAATGTAAAATTTAATAGGTAGACCAACAGTCTTCAGTCTGGATTCTAGACTAGACTTGCTACCTTGGTTAGGCAACTCATTCATGGCCTTCTTTGATTCCATGAACTGTAAGTTATCTACCCTCCTTATACAACAGAATGCTTGTAAATTGTAGATGTATGCTGGACGCTTTGAAAACCATGAGACATACAAATAGTAAGATTAGAATAATAATCAATATGATAATTAATTAGTGAACAATGACACCAACAAATAAAGGACTCATCTCTCAAATTTGTTCTGTTATTCAGAACATATTACTAATTGGCGTGGATTTTAAATGTGCTGTGATCACCCATAATGGCAGCCAATTCAAACAAGAATGGCTTCCAGTGGCAATCAACTAAAAACCCAGACTGTGGAAAAATTTTCCCATAAAAATAGATCTTCTCTTATTCAAGATGAGATTTCACACTGTGGAAAACAGTATGGTGGTTCCTCAAAAAATTAAACATAGAATTAGCATGTGATCCAGCAATTCTACTTTCATGTATATAGCCAAAATAATTGAAAGCAAGCACTTGAATTTGTACACCGATCCTCAAAGCAGTATTTTTCACAATAGCCAAAAGGTGAAAACACAAAAATGTCTATTGACTGATGAATGGATAAACAAAATGTGGTATATACGTAGAGTGGAATATCATTCGGCCTTAAAAAGGAAGCAAATTTTCACACATGCTACGATATGAATGAGGGAACCTTGAAGATATTATGCTAAGTGAAGTATGTTACATATGAAAGGACAAACATTGTATAATTTCTCTTAGAGAAGGTGCTTAGAATAGTCAAATAATAGAAACAAAAAGTAGAATGGTAGTTGCCAATGGCTGGGAGATAATGGTTATGGGGAGTTGTTTAATGGGTAGAGTTTGAATTTGGGAAGATGGAAAAGTTCTGAAGATGGCCAGTGGTCATGGTTACACAGTAACGTGAATGTGCCTAATGCTAGTGAACTGTACACTTAAAAATGGTTAAAATGGCAAATTTTATGTTATGTATTTTACACAATAAAAATGAGATTTCTTATTTCCCTCTTTGAGAACAAGAATGTAGTCTGTTGGGTTTTTCTGATAAGTGAGAAACAAAATTTTGACAGTGCTCACTCAGGTTTATAACCACAAAGTAAGGTTTTAAATACCTCCTATTCTGATCAAGTTTATCTATGTTTATTACTGGAAGAACTTTTTACCAGAAAGCAATTTGGGGAATCTTTGTGTCTCAAAATGAAGATTACATTATTTTTGATATGATGTTTTTATATAAGTTACTATATATTTTTTAGCCTAGTCTTTGAAAATTGGCCATCTTTGTACATTAATAGTAACTCTTTAAACCATAGACTTTTACCAGGCTAAATAATAGAAAATTATTGCATCCTTGCATATCACCTTTTTTCTTTCTTTTTTTTTTTTTTTTTTTTTTGAGATGGAGTCTCGCTCTGCCACCCAGGCTAGGCTAGAGTGCATATTATCTTTTTTCTAAAAAGTTTATTTAACTTGCACGCTGTCTATTATGTTACAAGAGGCAGTTTTAAAAATGAAAACACACATAGGATAAATGAGTTTTTACTATTTACACATTGGGATAAAACCAGGATTAATTCATATATGTATTTATATATATACATACACACTTTTTTTTTTTTTTTTTTTTGAGACAGGGTCTCACTCTGTTACCCAGGCTGGAGTACAGTGGTGCTAGCATGGCTCACTGCAGCCTCGACTTCCCAGGCTCAAGCAATCCTACCACCTCAGCCTCCCGAGTAGCTGGGACTACAGGCAAGCGCCACCATACCCAGCTAATTTTTAATTTTATTTTATTTTATTTATTTATTTTTGAAATGGAGTTTTGCTCTTGTTGCCCAGGCTGGAGTGCAATGGCGCTATCTCGGCTCACTGCAACCTCCACCTCCCAGGTTCACGTGACTCTCCTGCCTCAGCCTCCCAAGTAGTTGGGATTACAGGTGCTGGCCACCACTCCAGGCTAATATTTTGTATTTTTAGTGGAGACAAGGTCCCCTATGTTGCCCAGGCTGGTTTTGAACTCCTAGGCTCAAGCGAGTCTCCCGCTTCAGCCTTCTGAAGTGCTGTGGTTATAGGTGTGAACCACCGAACCCAGCCATATATTAATGAAGGAAGATGTACTTTTCTATGTCACTACCTTCTGGGTGCTGTGATGCAAAACAATAAGTCTCACTTTTCCAGGAACTTGTGGGATTGAGAAGGCAGAGAAGCAATGGGTGGTCAAGGTGTAGTACGCTAAGCACTCTAGCAGGGTTGTCTTCAGGTCCCCATGGGACAGACATGGTGGGCAAGGAATTAAACTGAGGGTCCAGGAAAGATTCCTGAAGGAGCTGAGCTGTAGCTGACACTTGAAGGATAAGCAGGAGTTCACACAGGTCAAAGAAAAAGTGCAGATAATGTCAAATATCCAGGAGCCTCTAGCTCATTATTATTTCCACTGAACCCCCATTGCTATGGAAAAAATAATTTGCAAAATGTAGTTTTACCCTACTTGTTTGCTAAATGTATCAGATACCAAGCCTTTGCATTTTACAAATGAAAAATGTAAAACCTTGAGAATTAAGGTTTCATTTCAGTGACTTTAGCCTGGCCTATGTCATGTGTCTGCTTTCCCCAGCCTGAAGGAAGCCCATGAAACTAGAGCCCTTTTTCATGGTGTTGGTGCCCCCAAGGATTGCTGTGAGCTTCACATCACTCCCATGCTTTTCTGCCTTTAACAGTTTCACAACCAAAGAGGAGCTGGGGAAGACAGTGCCTCAGCTACTGACTCCTGGTCTGATGGGTGAATCTCCAGAAATCTTCAGTCCCTCAGAAGATGAAGGCCACAGGGAATACCAAGCCAGTGACTCTGACTCCGACGGGCCTGTCTTGTACACTGACGATGAGGACGAAGATGAAGATGAGGATGGCAGTGGAGAAAGTAAGACTGTTTTCAAGAGACAGGGAGAAGCGTGGGTGATAAGCAGAAGCAGCTGCACTTTGTAAAGAATAAAAGCCTCATTAGGAACCAGACATCTGATGTTTTCTTTCCCCTCATCCTCCTTTCTCAAATTAGAAATGTGTATATCCTAAAGTTTAGCTTTTGACGGGAGGCCTTTCCAGAAGATGATGTCACACGGCTGGATCTGGCCTTTGTCGATGAGCTAGATGAGCTAGATGTGCACATTGGTTTTTGTGCTGAGAATCAAAGCTTTCTAATGACAGAGACCTTTCTCACTATGACCAAAGAGAGCCTTCCACTCTGGGACCATTCTTGAAGAAAGAAAGGAGTCAGTGCAGATTCTTGGGCTTACTCATTGGAGGTGTTTGAAATTTTCACTCACTTTTTTTTTTTACTGGGGTTTATAGAAAGGGGAAGGAGGAATGAATCAAGAATGCCAAATATCTCATTAGCATTAAGAGGTCAAGCATGGTGGTTCATGTCTGTAACTTTGGGAGGCTAAGGTGGGTGAATCACTTGAGAACAGGAGTTCGAGACTAGCCTAGCCAACATGGCGAAGCCCTGTCTTTACTAAAAATACAAAAACCAGTCAGGCGTGGTGGCACACACCTGTCATTCCAGCTGCTCTGGAGGCTGAGGCAGGAGAATCGCTTGAACCCGGGAGGCAGAAGTTGCAGTGAGCTGAGATCACGCCACTGCACTCCAGCCTGGGAGACACAGTGAGACTCCATCTCAAAAAATAATAAGAAGAAGAATGCTAAATACCTCGTTAGCATTAAAAAACAATCATACTTCCACAATAAGTAAGATAGTGGGCCTTCTAGGAAATAATAATATCATTTATGTATTAAAAATAACGGCAAAACCACAATTACTTTTACATCAACCTAATATAACTTGGAGATCTGGAAAGTGCTTTTATTTTTTTTTAACTTTGAGCAGGATAACAGAGGAGGGAATCACTGTGGGACTGAATTTGTAGATTATGACAAGTTATTAGTGATTAAATGGCACTTTGTCAATCCCTTTTAATTTGCATGGAGCAAAAAAAATAAATAAAACCATTATCATCCATGTGGTATTACTTATCATTTGTTGAAATTTTCAGGGTTCTGAGTAATTAAGGGTTAAACATTGGTAGACTCTGCCAGGATGGCGTCTGAGTAGAGGAAAGGAGGAGACAAGGATTAACTGTCCAGAATAAAAGCAAAGGAACTAAGTTTTTTAAACTTGAAAAAGAAAAAGCATTATACAATCATTCATTTCTATGATCCACCCTCTCAGCAAAATAAACTGCAGCTATCACTTTCCAAACGATGAAGTGAGACTTCTAAGTTTTTTATGGTGTCCCAATATTTCTCAGAACATTAAAAAGAAATAGCTTTTCAGTCTTCTTAAAATGTACTGCATCCAACTCAGTCTTTTTTTCCTTAGGTTAATTAAGATTCTCCTCCTGCACGAGGAGAAAGAATTTGGTCTGGGCTCTATTTAAAGTCCATGCCACGTGTAACCCAAGTGCCACTGGCTAAAAGCCTCTCTCTCTGCATTTCTCCTCTTTTTCAATCCTCAGGTGCTTTGGCAAGTAAAATACGCCGGAGGGATACTCTTGCTATCAAACTTGGCAACAGACCATCTAAGAAAGAATTAGAGGACAAAAACATCTTGCAGCGTACATCCGAAGAAGAGAGGCAGGAAATCCGACAACAAATTGGAACCAAGTTAGTCAGGTAATTGCTGACATTTTAGGGCAGTACTGACTAATTTGTATTTTTCTCCTTCCCAAAGCTTCCTACCTAACTGGGGTCATTGTGAATTCCTTATGTCCAGATACATCTGGCCTATTGGGTCTTTTAAAGTTGGTCTTGCATGATGAACCACTCGAGGAACTTATCCTTTGGCCCAGCTAGCCAGTGGCTTTCAGGTCACCAAAGCCTATTCCAGGGGTCAACAAACTTTTTTTAAAGACCAATTGGCAAACATTTCAGGCTTTGCTGGCCAGACAGTCTCTGTTGCAGCTACTCAACCGCACTGCTGTAGCATAAAAGCAGACATAAATAATAGATAAACAAATGAGTGTGGCCATGTTCCAATAAAACTTTATTTATTCATAAAGCTGGATTTGGCCTGCAGATCACAGTTTGCTCAACAATCCTGGCCTAATTTATGCACTCACTAGCATTCCTGGGAATGCCATGAGGTTCTGCCTTGTGGGCTGTGAGACTGTAGAAATATTAGTTCCCTTCAGTGGTCTGGCTTCATCCAAGTCAGGTAGCCATAACCCTCATATCTAAACATCCCCCTTCCGACTTCAAGTAAATGGGTCATCTGACATCTCTTCCTGCCTCCAACCATTGTATAGGATTTTTGTTTTTGCCACTGGTGACTTTACAAGTCCCTTTAACTGGCATTTTTAATAGAAGTGAGCATTCATTCATGCCAAAGGTCTTATTTTTGATGATCACTTTAAGCATATGTGAGAATTAGTTGTTCTGCTGACTTATCTTACTCTGCATACCCAACAGGGTGCATAACTGGGAGAAAGGAACTGTCTAGAATCCCAGAGCAGGATTTGGAGGTAGGGGGAAAATTGCTGTCCTTGCTTGGAAGTGGTATAACTGGAGGCAGGATTGACATGGAGGCTGCTGACCATTTCTCCAGAGGAAGAGTAACCCCTAAGGCACGTCCTTAAGGCTGAGTTGTGCAGAAAGGTGTCAGAGGCAGCAGCTGTGGCATCTATCTGAAGGAAAAGCACAGCCTACCAGGGAACCTCGGGGGAGGCTTAGAGGGTCTCTGTGTTCCGTAAGCCCTCTTGCAACTCTGGAAGCAATTTGGGAATGTTTACCAGTGGTCTCTCTCACTGTCATCTTAATTCAGCCCTAACCTGTGACCATTTCTGGCTTCGAGAAAGAGCCAGCAGAAGCAAGAGGGACCAAAGTGATTAATGGTATCAAGCTGGAAAAACCTACAAGTCTAATCTTGCCATCTTACCAAGGAAAAACAAGGGGCCTCTCTGAGGCCCAGAGAGATTAAGGAAATTTCTCAAGGACATGCAGTTACTGAGTAGCAGAAACGGAATCAGAGTTTCGCTCCTGGGCTCTCTGCCCAATTTTCTTTTGTACACTGTCTCCTGTTTTGTACTTTCTACTCTATGTAAGAGAGTATATGCTTCTAGGTTTTCTGATTGTTTTATTACTCTTGTTTATGTTTTGCCATGAAGAAGAATGTAAATCATTGAATAATATTTGCATAAAATAGTAATAGTATTATCATAGTAAGGAGTAAAAAAGCGTGAAGTATCATATACCCACTTCGATAAATGTCAAAGTAACCGTAAAGAAAATTTTGTACGTTTTTGTTAGAAATCCTAAACAAATGAGGAGTTGTAATCCCAGCACTTTGGGAGGCTGAGACGGGCGGATCACGAGGTCAGGAGATCGAGACCATCCTGGCTAACACGGTGAAACCCCGTCTCTACTAAAAAATACAAAAAAACTAGCCGGGCGCGGTGGCGGGCGCCTGTAGTCCCAACTACTCGGGAGGCTGAGGCAAGAGAATGGCGTGAACCCGGGAGGCGGAGCTTGCAGTGGGCTGAGATTCGGCCACTGCACTCCAGCCTGGGCGGCAGAGCGAGACTCCGTCTCAAAAAAAAAAAAAAAAGAAATCCTAAACAAATGAGGAGTTGTAATCCCAGCACTTTGGAGGCCAAGGCAGGCGGATCACTTGAAGTCAGGAGTTCGAGACCAGCCTGGCCAACATGGTGAAATACCATCTCTACTAAAAATACAAATATTAGCCGGCCGTGATGACGGGCACCTGTAATCCCAGCTACTCAGGAGGCTGAGGCAGGAATTTGGAGGCGGCGGCTGCAGTGAGCCGAGATCGTACCACTGCACTCCAGCCTGGGCAACAAAGTGAGACTCCATCTCAAAAAACAATTAAAAAATAAATTTTAAAAAATATACTAAATATCTTACTCTAGGGAGAAACCCTAAAGTCATTTTCTTTAAAAATAGAAGTAAAGAAAAATGCCTTAACCTTACTGTGCTAAAAGTCTGGTCACAATTATTTGTGGTGAAGAAAAGGTATAAATTATAGGAAAGATAGACTGTTGTTATACATGGCTATATACCTAGAAAACTCTAAAAACTGACCCCAAATTGCTATATATAATAATTTCAGCAGGTTTGCTTGATGTAAGATTAACCTAAAAAATCAACATTATATTTATATAACATTGATACATAGAAGAAATCTCCCACAATGAAAAGGGAGATTGCAGTCACAGCAATAGCAACGACCACACTTTAAACACTTAACTCTTCACTTCACTCCAGGCCCAAGAAATCCATTTCCAGAAAATCATAGTGGAAGGAATGAAGGAATATATAACTAAATGGAAAGAGAGTAAACATTTTTATCAATGAAGAAAAATCAGCAGACAGGTTAATCAAATGGGTAGCATGAAGTTTGAAGGACAATGGGTGTACTTTATAGAATCAAAGCATAATGGATTCATTCCATAAAATGAAACCTAATAGAAATAAATGTCACCTTTTTCAGTGTGGGCCAAAGAAAAACCATCTGCCAAGATAGGATGGGAGGTCTGTGGCCACAGATTGAAAAGATGTTTGGGGCTGTGATAAATGTAATGAAAATCATCATGAACACAACCATTGTGAGAGGTGGCTATTCAACATCCAAGTATGGGCTTATCCAGAACTGGCAGAAATACAGTCATAGGACAAGGCAGGAAAGAGCTCCTGCTTGGCCCCCATCTGTAAAACAGAGCTAACTAACCCAAGAGCTTGGGAGGATTAAAGGAGATGATACACTAATGGTTCTTTAGTATCTGGGTCATAGCAAGCCCTCAGAAAAATTAAATTTCTTATTATTCATTTAAATTATTATACATCAGTTAAACTAGTAAAGCACATTTAAAAATTAAACCCAATGTTGGCAAATTTGTGAGCAAGTAGGACACATATACATTGCCCTTTTTCAGTATTTCTGAAGAACAGTTTAACAATATGATAAGAGAATTATGAAGTGTTCTGTTTCTTTGCATGGTAATTCCATTTGGTAACTATATAAAAAGTAAATAATCCAAAGGGGGAAACTGCTATATCCTACAAAGATGTTTATTACAAAGATATTTATAGTAATGATAAATTAAAACAAACCAGTGTTCAAAAACAAGGGACCAATGAAGAACACCGTGAGAAGCTGACACTGTGGAATCCCATAAAGTACCAGTTTTCTAAAGACTTCATCAAGGATGCCCTGGAAATGATACATAGGCATCTACTGGAAGAACCAGGGAAGTGTAGGTGTGTGTCTGGGCTGGGATGGGAGCATGGATGTGTGTCTGGGCTGGGATGGGAGTGTAGGTGTGTGTTTGGGCTGGGATGGGAGTATAGGTATGTGTTTGGGCTGGGATGGGAGGAGGCTTCTCCATCCCAGATCTAACCATCCAACTAAGACAGCTTCTGTCTCTCTTACAGATTAGGATTCCACTGCAACCCACAAAAGTTCGAAAGCCTTGATAAATACATAGACTATATCTGTCAAAAATGTCAATGGTCTGGGCGCGGTTGTTTCATGCCTCTAATTCCAGCACTTTGGGAGGCTGAGATGTGGATCGCGTGAGCCTGGAAGTTTGAGACCAGCCTGGGCAACATGGCAAAACCCCATCTCTACCAAAAAAAGAAAAAATTAGTGGAGCTTGGTGGCATGCGCCTGTAGTCCCAGCTACTTGTGAGGCTGAGGTGGGAGGATCGCTTGAGTCCAGGAGGTAGAGGTTGCAGTGAGCTGAGATCACGCCACAGCACTCCAGCCTGGGAGACACAGTGAGACTCCATCTCAAAAAATAATAAGAAGAAGAATGCTAAATACCTCGTTAGCATTAAAAAACAATCATACTTCCACAATAAGTAAGATAGTGGGCCTTCTAGGAAATAATAATATCATTTATGTATTAAAAATAACGGCAAAACCACAATTACTTTTACATCAACCTAATATAACTTGGAGATCTGGAAAGTGCTTTTATTTTTTTTTAACTTTGAGCAGGATAACAGAGGAGGGAATCACTGTGGGACTGAATTTGTAGATTATGACAAGTTATTAGTGATTAAATGGCACTTTGTCAATCCCTTTTAATTTGCATGGAGCAAAAAAAATAAATAAAACCATTATCATCCATGTGGTATTACTTATCATTTGTTGAAATTTTCAGGGTTCTGAGTAATTAAGGGTTAAACATTGGTAGACTCTGCCAGGATGGCGTCTGAGTAGAGGAAAGGAGGAGACAAGGATTAACTGTCCAGAATAAAAGCAAAGGAACTAAGTTTTTTAAACTTGAAAAAGAAAAAGCATTGTACA